AATGGCTCTCAGCACCCCCACTACACAAATTGTTCCAGCACCCCTGGTTGGCAGAGGAGAATGGGTCACCTGCAGGAACCATTGGTGAATGTATAATACGCAAGATACCCTGTCTGGTTTGCTGCTTGGTTTTTTGTTTTTTGTTTTTTTTTAATTTAAATCAATTTAGGTGTTATTCTTTTGCTCACCCCTCTGAACTGGGTTTTTGTGGTTTTGAGCTGTCTTGCTGCTGCCCTCTGCCACAGCTCCTCTCAATAGACTCAGTCTTCAACTGGATACTTTTGAAGATTGGGTTGGAGGTGACCTGGGAACAAAATGCAGAGAGGTGGCAAGAGGGAAGGAGCCTTCCTGGTATCGGGGCAAGTCTCACATGCTCCTCCATTGACTCGTTACGTGGTTTTTCATGCATCACAGTCTAGATGATAATATGAAAGGACTCAATGCCTGTAAAATTCAACAGTTCAGTAAGAACTATTTACAGAGATGCTTGTCTGCACCTAGGATTCCGGCCATGTGCACACAGACCGACTTCCTGGTGCCTCCTCCACACTCTTCCCTCCTGCAACCTGTGCGCCTCCCTCCAAGATCCATGCAGTTTACAACACTTGTGCCCATTAGACTGACTTCTTCACTCCTTTTCCTTACCTCGTCCTCAGCCCTCCCCTCTGCCACGCTGCTCCTCGGGGCATTTTCTGAAAATCCCCCACAGTGAGCTGGTCCTATAGGGGCTGCAGGGGAAGCGCTGAGCGAGCGTTCTCAGCAGTGGGCAGGGGCTGGTTCCCACATTAGCTATTTACACAAGTGTCCGCGCTGGACATGGTGCATATGAAGAGCAGGTGGAGGTGGGAGGTGGAGGGGGCTGGATGGAAGCCAGGAAACCTTTCCTCTGATTTTGTAACCATTTGGCCCTTTGTGTTTTTTAGGAGATGTCATTGCACAAAGTGACATGACTGCAGCTTCCACCACAAGTGCCCCGTCTGCCAATGCCTCCTCCCAGGGCAGCCAACCCCCCACTGAGACTACGGGTGCCCCAACCCCCACTCAAACCTTGACCCCCACCAAAGCTGACACCTCACCCTCCTCTGGCCCTGGCATCCTGCCTGCTGCCTCGACTTCCACCAACGCCCTGTCTGGTGCCAGCACCCTGCTCCCCACCACCTCTGGTACACCAGGCAGTGCCAGCGTCCCATCCTTCACTGGTGCTGGAACATCACCTGGCACCGTCCCTCCATCCCCCGCCGGTGCCCCATCCCACACTAATGCCACCACTCTGACCCCCGCCACCCCTCTGTCCCCTGCCACCACTCTGACCCCTGCTGACACCAGCACCCTGCCTACTAAAGCTAGTGCTACCTCTCAGAGCACAGCGGCGATCACCACCAGCTCTGCAGACTCCCTCACCGTCGGTGCCCCCAGCTCCCCGGCCGCCCCTGTTGTCCATACCCTCAGCTCCGCAGCCACCCCCAGCTCCATGGCCACCCCAGCTGCTCACACGGCTGTTACCCCGAGCTCTACCATCGCCACTGACGTCCCCAGCTCTGCAGACACTGGTCTGGCAGCCGCGTGTTCATCTCAGAAGCCCCAAACAACAGAAACCACTACAGGTATGAGCAGGACTGTGTGCAGTTTTTGGAGGCTGGGGGAATGCTGGCTGACTCTGGAATAGAAAACGGGTTATGGAGTCTTTCCGGTCTAGGTTAGGTCCTGGGTTCGTGTCGAGCTCAGCCTGGCCATGGCTGACAGTTGCTGACACCCAGCAGCTGTTCAGCGGCCTGCGTGAGATCACCTGGTGGCTTGCAGGCCAGTGGCCAGGGGTCCCTATCACAAAAGCCACCCTAGCAAGTGGCCCCTTTGTTGGCAGCCTTGGCAAAAGAGGCTCAGGACCAAATGGAGCATAGAGGCCGAACTCCTCGCTTGTCCTTAGCAGGGCCCTGTCTGTGCTGGTTTGAAAATTTAGCAGGTAGGCCATGGAGGCCAGCTTATGTTTGACACGATGGAGAAGGGGGAGGTAGGGGCTAGGAAAATGATCGTTGCAGAAGCATTCTGGATATGAACGGGCCAAGGCTGTATTTGTCAAGGCCAGAAAGAAGGACGTTGCTCTAATCTAGGTGAGAGATGATGAGAGCCTGGATGGGAGTTGTAGTTGTGTGGATGGACAGAAAAACCTGCATCTTAGAGAGGTTCCACAGAAAGAACATAAGAATGGCCACACTGGGTTAGATCAAAGGTCCATCTAGCCAGGGCCATCCCTAGCCATTTTGGTGCCCTCCGCAGCCCCTCCGCGGGGGGGCTGTGTGGGGCCCCAGGCCTTGGCGGGGCGGCGGGGGGAAGCTGGCCACAGCAGCGTGGCTGGGAGCCAGGGGAGCGGAGCAGGCTGGGGCCGGGTCGCTCTACTTACCGGTGAGTGCAGGGAGCCCAACCCCTCCTGCGGTCCTCAGGGGAAGGGCTGGCTGGACTGGGGGCGAGGCTGGGGCGGAGCAGGGGCGGGGCCATGGGGAAGAGATGGAGCAGGGGCTGGAGCAGCACGCAGCTGCGCAGGCACCAGGAAATTTGGTGCCCTACGCAGCTGCATACTTTGCGTATGGGTAGGGACGGCCCTGCATCTAGCCCAGTGTCCGGTCTTCTGACAGTGGCCAATGCCAGGTGCCCCAGAGGGAATGAACAGAGCAGGTAATCATCAAGTGATCCATCTCCTGTCGCTCATTCCCAACTTCTGGCAAACAGACGCTAGGGACACCATCCCTGCCCATAGAATCATAGAATCATAGATTATAGGACTGGAAGGGACCTTGAGAGGTCATCGAGTCCAGTCCCCTGCCCGCATGGGGTTAATAGCCATTGATGGACCTATCCTCCATGAACTTATTTAGTTCTTTTTTGAAGAATCGACAAGCTTTAGACATAGCCTGGATGTGAAGACCTAGACCAGGGGTCGGCAACCTACGGCACGCGAGCTGATTTTGAGTGGCACGCAGCTCCCTGCCGCGGTCCCAGCCCCCAGCCCCACTCAGCACCTCCCCCCACCGCTCTCCCCTGCGGGGGCAGGAGGCAGAAGCTTGGTTCTGCAGCAGCCAAGCTTCCCCCTCCTCCTCTTCTTCCCCCAGCGTGGTGCTTTCCTGCCCCCCCTCCTCTCCTTCCCTGCGCCAATCAGCTGATGGCCCTAGCGAGGGGGAGGGGGAAGAGCAGCAGCGTGCACACAGCTCCATAGAGGAGGCAGAGAGCGGTAGGGACGGAGCCTGGGGGAAGGGGGTGGAACAGGGCATATCCCTTCCAGCCCCCCGCCATGAGCCGCTCAGGGCTGGGAGCACCCCCGTGAACCGAGCATCCCAGCCTTCTGCCCTGCACCCCCCACACCAACACACACCCAGCCTTCTGCCCTGCACCCCCACAGCCCCATCCCTCTGCCCTGAACCCCTCACCCCAACATACACCCATCCCTCTGCCCTGACCCCCCCACCCCAACACACACCCATCCCTCTGCCCTGCACCCCCCCACACACACCCAGGCTTCTGCCC